TCTTGTAAAGCTTAAATTTACAGAATAAAGAAGGCGGAAACCGGGAGGGCATACTGTTTTCAACTATAAACCTTTTGTTTATAAATAGTGCATATCGAGACGTTATGTTGTTATAAGTATTATGGCGTATGTTCTTTTTAGAGTTAAATTATTTAATATAAAATACACGGAAAATTTTCGAAATTCGGGAAACTATAGATAGAACCGACACGCCCCATCATATAGGCATACCCAATAAAGTGTATGCTGATAATGAGGTCTGTGAATTTAACTAAAAATTAAAAAAATACATTTAAAAAGGCAAAAATATGACCTAAACAATGAAAAACATCAAAAAATGCAAAATAAAATTTCATAAATGGATTTGCTGTTACATAATTAAAATTGTATACTAACAAAGCTACGTTTTTCACTCACCAAAAACAAAGAAAATGCACTTTCCTACAAATTCACAGCCTTACCATTGACAGTTTACTTAAAAAAAATTGTGAATTTCAGGATTGATTTGGCCTCTGGAAGGTGCGCACTTTCTGCTTAAAGAGACCGGTCCCTTGTGGCCAATGACTGCGCCGGTTAGAGCCCTGTTGGCAATCACCGCCAAGGGCTGGACGATAGAATCTCAGCCCGTTTACATGGGATTCGTGTCGATATTCATGTGGTCGGGTATAATGGTGGTAATAATATTCATCTACAGCAAATTTAACAAGGATTTATGGGTGTTGCGGAAATGAGAAAGAAATACATAATGGATGTTTTAATATTATTATGTTTATTATAATTGTATATTTTTGTTAAGAATTTTAAACCGAACTGAACGAGACTTTTGGATGATTTTTACAAAATATTTGATATAGGTACTTACATGTTATACTCGCACGAACCTTGTATACGTGTTAAAATGTAGTAGGTACATACGGCTTTTTCGAAGTGTGTATTATTAAACCGTTTGGCGTGACGGTTTTACGATTATAATAATATTTATTTACGTGGTTTTTCGAATAAAACGACACTTAAATATTATTATTTTATTTTATTTTATTATCGAACCTTATAAAATATTAATATTAAGTATAGTAGACTGTATTATCTTTGCCAACTTTGTGTATACATTTTTATTTTTATTTTTTTTTAACTTTTGTACCTATATTTTATTATCTATAAAAAATATCCTGTAAACTATTGCGGTTTCATTATTTATATTGTTTAAATAAATAAACGTATTTGTATCATTGAACGGTGTATGGCGGCGACATTTATATACTCAGTATAGGTACATATATTTTGATTATTGTATTTGTAACAGAATAACGGACGAAAACAGAAATATATTTCGATGTCGTGTAAGTTTCTGTTTAGCGGCTGCAGTAACACTCCAGATAGATTTATACGGATGAAAAACTTGACACAATTATTATTTTATGAAGTTTCTATATATAGTTTGCTATGGATAGCGTTCAAGTCGTCCATAGGGTTTTTAATATAATAGAATACTTCGGTCATCCGTTGTATTGGGTTTTTAGAAACTCTTAAAAGTATACCCACTTGATCTACATTGTTTCTTGTAATAGAAGTATAATTTTTTTATCCTCAATTTGTAATATTCTAAAAACTATTATAATAACAAATTTTCTTAATATAATGGCCACGACAAAATTAAATATACACTTATCGTTTTATTGTTTTAAAAACATACAAGTATAATACTTAATATTATTCTTACAATATATATATACATATATACATTTATCTAGCTATTAATCTAAATATAAAAAAAACTATTATAATATGGGTGAATTAAAATAACCTGTACGATATTTTTATCGATGTATAGATAGCACGCAGTGGCTTATAACTTTCGTGAAGAAAATCACCTCAAGCGCGAAGGAAAACAAAAAAAACTTAATCTTTCGTATGCCGAATTGTGTAATGTATGATTATTAAAATAGATAATAACTTTTTTTACAAAGTACCTAAAAATACTTCATGCGTGTTCGAGAACGGTTTTTGAAGTGATAAGATTATTAGATTACACGTATTTATAGGTAGAATTATATTATACGGGAAATAAACTCGGTACTTTACGTTGCAACTTTTAAGCTGTGGTACGAAATATATATTAATAATGGCTGTGATAATAATGTATATTAAATTTTCAAAACCAAAAAATAATAAATAATACAAAACAGTACATTTTGTGAAACATTGGTAAAAATAAATTTCTACGAATAAATCTTTGGTCCCAAGGAAGATCAGCTGAATTAGATTTTGTATAGTACAAGCAATGAAGTAAATTAAATTTTGAAAATACATACATTTGTACATAAATTAATATATACTACATGCAATATTCATACAATTTACAATTTTAGACCAAAAAATTACATGAGATAGCTGTAAAAAAAAAAAAAATAATAAAAACTGACAAACCATGCGATCAAAAGAAATATTTGGCAAATTCAATGCGAAGAAGTGTTGTGAATGGACTGAAACTGGGAGTTGACTAAGTTCCTCCTAATATTATTAATAAAAAAATACTGAAATCTCTGAGATCTCTGTCACTGTAATAAACAGTTCTGTATTTATCTGCGTATCTATCAATCGCGAATAACACGCACAATAAGGAACTTAACTAGTATATATATGTATATATGATGCGTTGCTATTTGGCGACTGCTAGTATGCGATTTAGCCATTTAGGTAATGATTTCTTGGACATCTTACCGTAGTGGGTTTCACCAAACAAATTTCGGACTGCGGTCGTCCGGTATAGTGTCACGGCGGTGGCCAAAAATAAAATACAAATAATAATAATAATAATAATAATGATGATGAAAAAAAAAAACGTCCAAGTTCCCGACAATAGTCGACACCGACGTAAGGCCGTGGAAATCCAAAGACGATTGACGACGTTTTAAAGTAAACACACCGCGGGTATAAGTGTATATGATATATATTTATATATTGAGAGAGTTTGGGCCAATAAAAATGAACTTAACACCTGCAACGCTGTATATATATGTATAGTATGAGAGACGAGATTCTCGTTTGTATCACGCCGCCGTGCAGAAATCGGCGATTCAATCCCCGCAATAAGTAAATAAAAAGGTTTCGGTGGGAGGTGGGAATAAAAGAAAAAAGGAAAAAAAAAAAAGAGAGAAACCAAAATAAAGATCTCCGTGGAAAAACAAACAGCATTAGACTGTGCGCGCCGTGGCGGCGAAGGGAAAAAGAGCAAAAGTATGTTGCGCGCAGTTGTGTGCGGCGGCGGCATTTTCGTTTATCATCGTCTGGGCGGTAGCTAATGTTTCTTTTTTCTCCTTTTCGCCGCCTGTTCCTTTTTTTGGACTCGACCATACCTTACCCCTTTCCGTACCGCCGCCGACACCCTTTTGCGTTGCAGTGTGCGTTCCAAAAGTCAATATTTAATATATATTTCGTCGAAGAGAAAAGGGACTTTTCGACTGCCGGAACAACCGCGTATAATTCTCCCTCTCTCTCGTTCCTTTCCACCTGTCTTTCTCTCTCACCCGCACCAGCTCTTGCATCGACTTCTCTCCGTATACCACGCTACCGCTGTCTCTTTTCCCGCGCTGTTCGCTCTTTCGACCGCCGAGCGTTTACTGCTATAAGCAAATACACACACACACACACACACACACACACACACACACGCGCGTAACGAGCACACGTTCTCCGATTATCGTGTGGTGGTGGGTGGGGGATCGAAGTGGGGTGAATCGACCAAGTACGATGAAAATGATATACAACCCGACCGCAACCATAACCTGCCGGCCATATAGATATACACAATGTAGTAAATAATGCGTCCGTGTGTGTGTTGTTAAGTATTATACTCCGACATATATCTTGCGTACGTAAAGCCACATTGAGACTCCCTCCATACCCGTCGTTGACGTGCGTCCCCGTAGAAATATTCCCAGTATTAGCGACGTATAAGAGTATAAGCAAACTTACCTATATACTCGTAGAGTCGCGTCTAGACCATAAGACCAAGGCAAAGGAATATACATTGTAATAATCGTTACATAAATGTTTTATATTACATATACTAATTAATATGTGTGTAATATATATATTATTCAATATAAATTTGTGCTGCATAAATTAGCTAAACAAATAAATAATATGATTTTGTGATAAATGAAAGTCGTACTATTTATTTATTATTTAGAGTATATAATATAATTTTAACAACGGATGATATTTGACAGTTTTTAATTATATATGATATACAACAGTGGTCGAAAACCTGTGGCTCCTTAACGTGCAATCTGTGGCTCTTTGGAAAATTCACCAATATCTAGACATCCTAGATTTAGAACTATAAAATATAAATTAAAATACGATTATATGCCTACCAATGTCCAATGGAATTGCTTAGGACAATATATTAGTCGTTTTTTCTACTATTATATATTTTTTTTATCTTAACTATTTTGCCTCTTAAAAAATCATAGTTTTTCAATATTTTTTTTAAAAAAATGGCTCATTTAATCGAAAAATTTCCCGACCACTGATATAAAAGATAGATAGGGTTTATTTTTTTAAAATGTTATGGTTTTATTAAAGAATAAAAACAAAAGTAATATAGTAATTAAATTAAACGAAGATAACATTAAGTCGATTACTCCGAATTTTGTTTGGTAAAACGGTAAGTAGGGGTGAGATTGTTAAATTACTTAAAAGTATTTTTAAAGGTCTGTTGTCTTTGTTAATCAAATATTAAGATAAATTTGAATCAAAAAATGTTTAAGGAAACAATGAGGACTTAATTGAGCAAGAAATCGAATTTTTAGACACTTCGTTATTGGAAGTGGAATACGAAGAATTTATAATTTATTTTATGTACCTACTATAAGAAAGGAAGACTAAAAGAAATGTTAAGTAAACAATTTGGACTAATTACAATTACTTATACAGAGGAGAAGCTAAAAAACTTGATAGACAAATTATTAGGATTAAGATAAAAGGGGAAAATAATGAATGTGGTGACAAAAGACCCGCTGAATGTAGAAACAGTTTCAGAAGTAGAAAAATTATAAAGATTTTGGGAAAACAATAAATAATTTTACTTACTAGTCAAATATAGTAGTAAAAAAATTGATTTCAAACGAATTATTTATAAGCCGAAATATTTTGGGAGAAAATCTATGGAAAATATAGACAAATGTATAGATAAATTTGAAGTAATAGTTATTGTTAATGAATGGGGGAAGACAGAAAAAGCAATGATATAAAAAAATAAAGTGATAGTAGGTCAAAATTATATCAAAGAATAGGTACAAAGTAAGAAGTGGTTTGAAGTTTTGAACCATACATACCACTGTCGTTTCACGGCCTACAGGACTGTGTTAAAGGGGGCGAAATAACCTATTTTCTGAACGCAAAAGAGGTGTCGGTGAATTCCCAAACACGCCCCAAATACTTTTTGAACGAGTCTGGTGACTTTGGACAGCGTTTCTAAACGCACTCCAGTACTTGTATTTAATAACCGCTCATAGATAATATATAATTCATGTATCTATCTATTATATATTATTATCTATATAACCGCTACAATATTATTGATTTTGGATGATTATGTATTATTTAATAACGAAATATTGAGGTTATTGTTATTTGTTGTTTTATAGCTTGCTCTACGAAAGGCGAAACACATGTGTGATTTAATGTTTGAGTTTTTAAAATTGACTTCATTTTTTTCTATTTAAAACAACGCGTGTTTTAATGTAGGTTAAATCATTTGTTTTAAACAAAACTATATTTGGTTTAATGGTATACATATTTTAATTGTATAAATTACTAGTTATATATTTTTTTTTTTTACTGTTTAATTAAAATTAATCACTAACAGAAATCGTTATAATTATTTAAATAATGGCATATACTTGATATTTCTAGAAACAGGTAATTCAATTAATTTGTAATTGTATACACATAAAAAAATGTTAGTAACTACCTAACCAATAAGCAGTATTTGCATATTACTATATAATTTTTTATACAACCTGTAATACTCAATTTTCAGTTTAAAATAAATTGTTATTCCAAATCATCTCTATGCCACAGAGTTTTTGTGTTGAACAAAATAAATATTGTCTAGTACTACCTAGAGAGACTTTATAACAGCATAATCGTATATTATAGACTCTAGTATTATGTAAATATAAATCGTAGTTTAGTTTTTTGAATTTCCTATTATTAAAATTAAAATAATTTAAAATCAACAACTATTTAAGAAGTCTATGTTTTACACATGAAAGGTAAAGTTATAAAAATGTCTAATTTTAGACAACAAAACAATAAAATAAAAAAATATTGATATTAGAAATGTGTGGACATGGCTTTTGGTTAATTTGTTTTAATAATTGCCACTTATCACTTGACAGCAACATAAAACAGCGTTCAATATTAAGATATAATTAATAATGTTTATTAATATAAGTAGTTTTAATAATATAATATAATAATAGTCTTATAAATGAAATTGTATTGTAAGGATAGTATTGCAGTTTGCAGTTTCACAGTGCATTATTATATGGTGTAGTTTACTACTACACTAGATTTAAGATATGTGGGCATATTAATTATATTTTAAAAATATAAGAAGTTTATAGTAATTTAACTTTAATTCATAGTAATAATAAACAATTTGAACTAAATGGTTAATATACTTATATATAAAATACTGAATAACATGGACTTTTTGAACTGTTTTTTTTTTTTTTTTATGTTTTAAACATATTTAAAAAAAAAAGTAGTTATTCACCATAGTTGGTTAACACATCAAGTTGGCAAGCTTGGTACTTGATTATTACATTCGTTAATTTTATGGTTCACTTTTGTTAAGCATCTAATATATCATGAAGACATTTATGATGATTTATAATCACGAATCAATCAAATTTTGACATTGATAGCTAGTATCTTCACTTATATTAGACCCTAAGTAAAAAAAAAAAAAAAAAACATACATTTTATAGTAGACTATAGTACCTAACTATTTATTTTTTCAGTATTATAATAACTGATATTTATACATGATTTAACTCAAAATAAATCAAACAATTTAGATTGAAAATATCAATGAAAGTGAATTCTGATTAAACATCAAAAATTAAAAATTTGATTAACAATACATTAATAATATTAGATCAAAATAATTGTAAAAAAGGTATATTTATGAATTGATTGTTAAATAGGTACCATTGAAATAATTGAAGAACAGAAAATTGAAGAAGAAGGATACGAAAAGGACCCAGTTATGAGAGACGATTTCAATAAAGGTTTAAGGGATCTGAAAAATAAAAAAGCAGTAGAAATTGTTGGAATGAAAGCGGAGGTGTGAAAGAAATCATGGAAAAAAGTTAAAAGCAAATTATAAGATAAGGGAAGAAAGCAATGACATAGATTTAATTGCTGAAAATAAGGAAGATTTGGAGCTACTAATTAAAATTATGGATGAAATATTCATTAGGAACTTTTGTATAAAATAAATATGCAAAAAAAAGGACTTGTTTTTGGAAAGGAAAATAAAACCACAGTTCAGATAAAACTACGAGGACCAAATAGTGAAACAAGTAGATGGATTTGTATACCTGGGGAGCACAATCAGCAGTGATGGGAGAAACAGAGATAAATAACAAAACGCATCTGTCAACTTAAAATAGCCTTTAACAATAAGAAAAATCTACTTTCATCAAGAAACATCAGCCTAAAAACAAAGAAAAATGTATTGAAGACATATGTATGGAGTTTAGTCCTTTATGGTTGTGAAACCTGGGCAATATTAACATAAGAACGAAAAAAGATAGTCATTTGAAATGTGGTGCTATAGAATAATGTAAAGGATAAGTTGGATGGACAGAGAAACCAATGTAAAGGTAATGGCAATAATAACCGAGGGAAATCTATTATGGAATAATGTAGTTAAAAGACGGAACGTATGGATAAGCCGTATAATGGGACACGATTGTTAAAACAGATTATAGAGGGAAGCGTAGAGAGGAAGAGCCATATGGGAAGACCAAGATTAGAATATAATCAACAGATAATAAAAGACCAAGAATTTACTAAGTATTGATTTTTTAAATTTTATGTATGATAAAACTCGGTACTCAGTTAATATTTAGGCATTGGATGTTGATTTTAATTTGTATTGCACGATATCAGCGCCTGGTTGATGGTATTAGCTATACTACTGAATTGATTTTGCTTGATAGCTCTCAACAGGTTACTAGCATATACATGAAAGGTCATGAGCAAGCTACCATTGCCCTTTCCAGGACTTTATCGCAAAATTTGTAATCTTATGCTTATAATAATTTATTACCTATTCATGTTGATTTGTAGGGAAATAGTGAGTTCCCACACGAAAGTAGTAGGTAAACAATTACATAAGTAAGTTGGTTTCTACAAATATGATACGTTAATTCTTACACAGTAAAAAAGTTGCGTATGTTAGTTCCTACACAAATAAAAAAATTACATGTGAAAGTTCCTTCATGGTTAGTTCCTATAAGGCGGAAAAAATTATACTTGTAAGTTCCCAAAAAAAAGTTTAAATTTCAGTAAGTGAATACTTATGTTATATTATGGATTAGGTTTTTATATTTATTATTAAACTATTATTTCATAAATTAAATGTACTCAAACTGATTATGTAATTAAAAAAAAAAAAAAAAAACAAATGGCATAATACCTATTACATACGGAAGGTGATAATATTTTTGAAAAAAAGAATCATATAATACATTTCATAAGCAGATAGGTAATATAAAACAATAAAAATTGCATAATGCATTTTATAAATAAATATAAAATCATTAGGTCTTTAAAAAAAAAAAATTTTAATTTTATTAGGTTTATTCCTAAAACTTAAAAATTTAGCATAATCTTATTAATTAATTTTGCTTATTGTATAAAGATTCGTTTAATTACTGTATATGCTTATTATATAAGCATTTTGTATAAGATTAATATTATTTTGTAATGATATCATTAACTATCTATTTATGAAATTAATTATGCAATTAAGGAACTTACACATATATTTTTTTCTGTAGTATAAGAATTAACAATAAGCATCTTTTTTTTACCATGTAGGAACTTACACATCACATTTTTATATTCATGTAGGAACTAACATATGTATTTTTTTTTTTTACTTGCTAGGTCTCGTGCAGGAACTTACATTCACCCGATTTGTATACCAACCATATACAATTTAAAAAAATAATATTTTTAATATTAACTCAATTGTTTGAACCTCGTCCAATGGAAATATTTTGTAAAATAATGTTTTAATAATTTATCATTCTTCATTTTGTGCACATGTATATTATTTATTAGTTTTGTTTGTTGTTTCCAATAAATGACGATGATAATGTGATAATTCTGTGCGGTTTCTATGAAAGACGACCTAAATCGTTCATACATTTTATAACTTCATTATGCTACGTGTCAACTATGTTTTACTTTGATGATACAATTTTAACAAATATTTACAACTGTATAATATGTATTCAGTGTAAAACTTTTTGGGAAATGATAATACGAGTATATACGCCGTTGTTTGTACGATACAGTTGTTCGGAACTTAGATTTGTGACGTGATTATTATTCGAGTTTGTCTCCTTTATGTCAATAAAGGTGACCCTTTCAGAGATAAACAAAAATAATACCGTTATGTCGTCATTTGTTATCAGTTTTCTTTTTAATTTTCAGAAAAACTTTCAGGAATCCAGATAATTCAAATAAAGTAGATACTACCGGGTGAAAAATCTGCATCTTTTAATGTATTACGTGATAAATCGGATCACTCAGAATCTTAAATGATTGAATATGATAATGTATTAATATCTATATAAATACACGATTCAGCGATACCGGATAGTAGGGATAAGTAAGGATAGGAGATAGGACTGTTATAACAATGCTAGATACTAATAACATTTCGAGTTCAGGAGTCAAGTCAATAATAATCATTTGTTGCTGTGGACAAATATTTCCCACCGGCCATGATTTTTGAATAATATAATTTATTGACGAAACTGATGAACGGTGTCATTTAGTTTTCGGTCTAATGGTATCAAACTAAATTGAGGCCATGCGAAACTGATACATGTCGGTTCGAGGAAACAAAAATGGCGGTGGCGGCGTCGTTGTTATTTTTATAAAAATGTGTTACGAAAAGAATATATTACAAAACTACAAAATTGTCGTCATACTAATGTTTTGGTCACGTTAATTGTGTCTAAACAACGAAATCGATAGCAAAAGTCATAAAAAAATACATTATTTCCTTTGCTATATATTATAGTTTGTATTCGAATTTGTCGAATCGCAATAAAAATAAAACATAATATAAAAATACCATGGTTTTTATTACCGTGTGGCGAGTGCTATATAGGGACAAAAAATAAAAATAAATAAAAATAGAAAGTAATAAAAAAAAAAAAAAAAAAAAAAACAGAAAATATGAACAGGAGAATAGAAGTAAGCTACAACTGTACACTTAAACTTGATTGATTTTTCATATAATATGTATATTTAATAATTTTTGTTTTGATACATTACTGCAAAATAATATATTATTTTTTCTTATCGATACAGTTTTCCTGTTTCTTTTCTATTACTTTTCCGAATGTACCGACAATGCAATAATGTACCTACATTATTGCATTGGAAAGTCCACACCGTAAACTAACATAATGAAATATAATATAATGTCATTACACAATATTGTAACGAGATTAATATAAATATAATAGATTAAAAAAAAAAAAAAAATTAAACGCATTTATCATCGTCCATCACAATTCAACGAAATCAGTCATTTATGGAAAAAAAAAACTTTTAAAAGATTGCAGCACACCCAAAGAATGCTCGTGGTACACTGGTGTGACACACCGACACGGCATCCAGTTTTAAAATCACTATCGCAGATATAATAAAGAAATGAGTAGGACACGTCTGTATCAGTATTTATAGGGCACGCAATCTATTTTTATGTTATCTCACACATTCCATAAATGGTGTGCACACAGTTTGGTAGCTAAAATAAAATCTCGATTAATTAATATTTTAGTTATCTGATCGTCTTCTATCAGGAATTTTATTTCACATCGGCGAAAAACCGACCGATGGACAATTTATATTATTTATAATAAATATTTAATAACTACATACAATTTCTAAAACAAACATCTCTTGCACACACTAATAATATACCCGGTCTATTTATTTTATGTCTATGACGATTGTTGCTATCGGAGTGATTTTTGAATAGCCAGAAACTATTTGGGTTTTTTACCGAAATCGATGAATTACAAATAATATTATCAATGTGGGGATAATTGCAATGTTTCATCCTGTGTGTATTTCGAATAAAAAAAAAAAATCATCCATGAGCAACAGAGCTCCGTCACTAAAGTCGAATTTCCTGCCTTATTTGTATTGTAGACATATTCTTTGCGGAACAGTAATATTAACCAAATATTATAATAATACAATAGATACAAAAAAATTGTGAAATTTGATCATATAAATTGTAAAGATGGGGGGTTGAAACTTGAAACCCTCAAAAGGCGCATCATTGATACTTGAGTCGTGTCACCGTGCATTAAACAATATTTCATTCCTCCGATATCTTGATTTGGAAGGGTATTTAGGAATGTTCGAAGCTAAACAACACCCTTCTCCCGCAACAACACGGTGAAATTTATGTTGAAATGTAGTTCAACTTGTATCGCTTCAATATTCCTAGAAAACAATTCTAATTTCCGAGTATGAACCCATGTGGTCCAGAGTGAGCCGCTGAAAGTATCCTAAAGTAGCGGAAAAAGATATTAAGCAGTCTCTATATTCGAAAGAAATTTGAGAAAAAGTGAAACATTGTCGTACATTTAATATTACGGGGAAATATTCTACATTTTAAAATAAATTATTAGCAAAAACCACAACAAAGTATACGCGGACTACCTTCATAATATCTTGTTATTTTTATACAGCGGTCTGTTTGACACATTCGTAGCTGGGGGTCCAGTCCAATTAGGCTACGGTGCGGTCGAAAAGGAAAAATATCCTAGAAAGAAAAACAAAAAAAGACTCCGTTTTAGTAATATTTTTTTTTTTTGTTTTTTTTCCCCTGTAAGATTTCTCATTTCGATATTTTCTCGGTCTTCGCTGACTTGACAAGCGTTCTATACATATTACATACATATATACACTGTATCCCGTAGCTACAGCAATAGTGTTTTCGATCCTTATTATAAGTCACATCACGACGAGGGTTCAAGACGGTACCATTAACGGCGATTGCGCGATTTCGGGACTCCATTTTTATATACACATATACCTATATCTATATATTTTTTTTTTATTTATTTATTTTTTTTATTTTTTTTTATTTTTGACAAGAAAATCCTTCGGGTTTCCGTCACCACGCGCCGTTCTACGGTCTCGGAACGCGTTTTCTTATCATTAACGTCACCGAATCGTCTTCCTCGCGTCTCCGACGGGATTTCACGTCTCGCGTTGGCGTTAGTTTTATATGCGTCAACCGAACCCGCGGGAGATGTGACCGCGCACACAATAATAATTGCCAGGTGTAAATAATAGACACGGGTGGTGGTGCTCAGTGTTTGAAAACCATTAGGTGCGAGAAGTAAAAAAAAAAAAACGACAAAACGCACTCGGCATGAACTCGGCGCAGGCAGGTTTATAATTTATCGTGACCGGTCAGTGTAGTTTTTTTTCCTTCGCACTTTTTTTTTTATTTACAGCAAATACAGTAGGTAGTTAATTCTTCGGCTCCTGCAGTTATAAACTGCAAGCGTTATTATTATTATTGTTGTTGTTGTTGTTATTATTATCACTGTTGTTTCAAATAATAATAGTGTAGGTATATACCGACAGTCGTACATTATTGGAAATAAATATTGTCGGCGTGACAGTTAATAATTGATTTTCGTAGTATATTATTGTAAGTTCTCTGGAATTTATCGTACGGGGGCTTACGCGGGTAAACTCTCTCTCTCTCTCTATGTATATAATACTAAGCGTCTTATAACTGCAAACGCTCGCGTTGTTGTTGCAAAAAGTTTCAGCCGAGTCGAAAAGTCACTAAATTTTATGTTTCACGTTATATAACTGCAGTGTGTGCGCGCACAGGCTGGTAGCCGTATAGGACGCATTGGAATTTTATTGGTTTGTACTCGTGATGGCGTTTTTCAACGGGACCCGGCGCGCCTTTCACGCTTGTCAACCGAATTTTATTTAGTACTTTTCGAACAAAACCTATTGTA